CTTTCCCTGGTGCACTCCAACACAAAGTACACAGGGAAGGAAGAGATCTCAGACATACTGCTTAACCCGTTAAATTTCTATAACTTAAGAAGAAAAGAATGAAAAAGGTGTATAGATATAGATATGTAAATGAAGAATATACACATATATATCCACATATTATATGCATTACAATTATAAAATGAATTATAATATTTAATTAAGTGAAATAAAAAATAAGAATTGGGAGATAATAAAAAACATAATGTGACCTAAAGTGAGTATGAGATATATAAGTTCTTGTAGTACTAAGCTATTACTGAATAGTTAGAAATAAAATTGTTTATTAACCGAATAATCAAAATTCTGGGACAAAAATTATATATCTATCTGTATATATATACATATATATATATGTATATATATACATATATACATATATATGTGTATGTATATGCATATACATATATATATGTATATATATGTACATGTTCTAGTAGGATACTTTTAAATTAATTGAAAATATTTTTTATTGAGGTATATTTGACATATAACACTTTAAATTTAAGGGGTACAAAATGTTGATTTAATGCACTTACATATTGTAATATAGTAGCCATTGTAGTGATAGAAAATCTTAAGCCAAATCATTATTTGATAATAGCATTGCTCATTTTGTGGTACTTTCCCAATCACCATGGTTCTTTTATATATGAAAGATGTGTATTTCTCACTTTAAATATACATCTTCCTGAAGGAAAGAAATGAGGAGACTGTTCCAGTTACCTTGTTTTAGGATTGCACACACACAAACACATGTTCATGCATGCACACACATGCACACATACATGGATTTACTCAACTGTCCTTATAAAAAGCCAAATTTTTATTTATACATAAATATTATATTTACTTAATAGAACATGGCTAGGGTATAGACATCTTATATGGATTTTAAAACTTTCCACACACTTCTTGATCTTCTTTAATACCAAATACCAAATTCTGTGTGTTAGTGTATGTTTGAGTTATCTGTCTGAGTGTTTGCATGTGTTGGTGTGAGCACATGCAGGTAGGTGTGTGTGTGTGTGCATGCATATTTACTTTGGACAAAGAAAGCAGGCCACTGAGGACAATATTTGACTAGTGTTAGACTCTGCTGTAGCTTGTGTTTTAGTGAAGCAAATATATCAAACACAATATTCAAATAAAAATTGCATTTGTTTGTACATATTTATTATGGGTTAATTAAGTACTTCAGGAAACAAAAATAATTATCTGAAATATAAATAGGCTGCTATTCAGGTACTGCTCTATTGAAATGATCTTTGCTCCTACAATTTTTTCTTCCTTTCTTTAAGCAACATGATTTATTGAATGAAGTGTATGCCTCCATGTTGATATGTTTTAATTTCAATATTATATTGTCTGAAGCATCATGGGAGTCTATGGACATACGCTCTACTACAAAGATTGTTTAAATATGCAAATCTCTTAGCCTGTTGTCTGTAGAAAGTGCTAAGAGTGATTAGAAAACAAAATGCTGAGTATTCTCTTCAAATCTAAGACTTTTTTGGTAATTTAAGCTTAAAAGACCTCTTACAATGCAATTAAACATCCTTAGAACTAATGAATTTAGTGAAAATTGTGCCTTAAATAACTGGAATAAAATACAAACATACTTATAACTAAGGAATCAGTTGCTATAGATGAGATGTTATATAATAAATGTTGGGATAGTAGTTACTTAAAAAGGTACATTTTAATAGTAATACTTTAATTCTATCCTCTCATTTGACATGACTATATGATAACGTTTCCAATTAGTACTTTCAATGAAGATGAATTATAATAAATCAGAACTTTTGTGCCCAAATAGAGTTGTGAGTGATTATGGTTAAGATTAGGACTTTGGATTGCCTTGTTTCCATCATGTTAAAAGGTACATCTTGGTACTTAACCTGATTTTCCAATGACAAGCTGCCAATGAGGCCTTGCGTCCTATTATATTAACTATGTATGAATTACTGTATCCAGAGAAAAGAATTTTGTGGCTCTTGAGTCACTATACTATATACAATTTGTTTAATAAGGTATGTATTGTTTTCTACTGGAATCCCATTAATCAATATGATGAAACATAAATCTTGTGAATAATTTATTGTTTCAAATAAGTTTTGTTGCGGAAACTATTTCATGATGTTTGCTTAATGTATAACAACAAAAGAGGAATACCCATTAATGAATGATTTAACATTAACTACTATTTGAAAGATGCAGAAGACTATGAAAAAATAACTGAGATGACAATGAATTGTAAAAGACATATAATATTTCCGGCCAGACTCATGTAGAAATCGTGCTAATGTAGGCTTTATGAGGATAATTCTACTTAAATATATTCATTTTAATTCAGCAAGAAAACACTTTTAGAGTTATTATACGGAGGAACCATTTTAATGATCATGAAAACTACTAACCCTAAGCAAGCTATTTTGAGGAAGGCAGCTGAGTAAGAAAGCCATATGAAGTGGTCAGAGAACTGAAGTGAAGAGAAATCTGGTCTTATGGTTGTTTATTAACACAACTCAAATCTCAATCGTACTCCAGTTAATACACTGTCAACTGCTTTAAAAATAAATTTATATGTACAAGAACTCTTTGCTTCTTTAGAAACTACAAAATTTAGGTCAGGAGGTGATAATAGAAGCTTGATGATTGAGTTGCTATAACATAACTACTTCCCTTGACTTAGGTCAAAGACAGAACCGGAAACCTACCATGTTTCTTTCCAGGGTCTTAGAATGGAGGATTCACAGAGGGCAGGTATGAAGTTTTTCAATGAGAATGCATATCTTCTAATGGTCGTGGTATTTATAGCCACTTGATGATTTTCTCCACTATCTGTTTCATAGTCCACAACTTATGAATTACTTCTTGTTATTTTAGCTGGTACATATATGTTAAAGTATGCCTGTACCTATTTCACATGGAAATGTGTTGAATCTTCCTTATGGTCAATTCAGGAAACATGAAAACCTGGATTAAAACCTGATGTCATGGAAAACAAGGGTATGCAGGATTACAAAATCCTATTTATTCTTTATTTACAACTGCTTACAGTGCTAGCAGTGGTGAATACCAGCTCTTTTGACGATAATTAATATGAAACATAAATCAGTGAGAGTCACTGATGGATTCTGTATACATGGCACTCATAGTGGTTTTTTGCCACACATCTAATAAAGACTATTGACACATTTATGCAGTTTAATATAGATGCACTTATATTTTAAATTGTGAATCATTTTTCATACAATCTTTATTAATTTTTACTCATTTAAAATTAATATTTAATTAGAAAATATAGTAGCTTAAAACATTTCTGTTGATAAATTCTACATTTAATTTTCAGATACATAAGAATAGTAAGAATAGAAAGACTACCTTTTAATTATATATTGATACAAAGAACATGCCAGATTTTTTTCAACACTTCTAGTTCACTTTAGTACTTGAATGTTTCTGTGACATGATGTTAAAAAAGGGTAGACATTGGGTTTCAAATCTCTTGTCTGTCAAACCTTTCTGCATTAATGACATGCATTCCACCGGGAACAGGGCAGTTGACATCAAATAACATGCACTACACCTAGTGATGCCTATTGGTTCTAAAGGCACAAATAATATTACTACTTATTTTTATTTATTATTGTAAATATAATAAAGAAATATTTATTTGGCCTTCCTATGAAAACATATTTAGTCTTGTTATAGTTTAATTAGTATAGTGAAGTAATTCATATTTATTATTTTTCCAAAATGCCAAGGGTTATTCCAAAATGACTTGGGAGTACTTCATGGTCAAATCTTAGGATGTACTTAGTATCATAGTAAATTTATCAAGCTACTTAAATTTTATGTTCTAGTTTCCTTGTATATATATTTATAATGAAAATGATGATTCCAGTGAGGAGG